GGAAAGAGAGAGAAAGAAAACATTTTTTTCTTATAAGCATTATATATATATAGATTCATACATGTAAACATACATGTAAAAAGTAAACATAACCTTTTCTCATTTGGTCAAATACTACAAAAGGAAGGGTTTTTATTGTTGGTATTGATGCTAATTTATATCATATTTCACTCAAAGAAGACATTTAAAAATTCTTAGCATAGGTTGGTAACTGTCTTATATATCTCTACAAATAGGTCTTCTTATACAATTTTAAAGGTTACTTTCCATTTACAGTTATAAAATATTGGCTATATTCCCTGCGTTGTACAATATATCCTTGAGTCTATCTTACACTCAATAGGCAAGAAAATATTTTTTAAAAATATAAAATGTATATAATTGCACTCTCTGGGTCTTTGAATTGACCGTGATAGATCTTTCGTAATAAGTCTAAATACTTATGTCTAACCTGCTCACCTGGGGTTATCAGCATTTCTTTAAGATAAGTATGATATAGCTGGTCTTTGGTTAGGAACTGGCAAATATATCAAGGCAGAAACACAAAGAAAACAGGGAGAAGATGCAGGAGCACATGAAATCCAGACCTTGCAGGAGGAATGTTCTGAGGCGGACCTGTGCTTACACATGGCTTGCTGTTGGCAACCGGTGCAGTCAGCACGCATGCGTAGATACCCCTCGCTGACAGCTGGCATGCAGCATGGACATTTGCTCCAGGTCGGCCCCACCAACATAGTTTGTCTTCATTTGTGTAGCACACTTACCGAACTGAACAAAAAGGAAGAGAACCTGCTGAATGTATCTGGAATATATCCCATCAGTCTCTCCTTTATCTTTGGCACATAGAACACGCTTTCAAGCTCTGGACGTAGACCCGAATATTGATACTTTTTTTTTTTTAACAAAAGACTCTTTATCCCAAAGAAGCAAATGTGGAGTTAATGGTAAAAGCATTAAATTTAAATAAGACTAGGTAAGTCATGGAGCCACTGTGAACCTCCATTTCCTCATGTATAGACAGCACCCACCTCTTGAACTGGTATTGTGAGGAATACACAGAATAATATGTATAAACATATTTTGTGCATTATAACTCATTGATTAGATGTAAGGAGTTGTCTTTAGTTTAATCTGGGAATTGAAAACAGATTTATTTTCGACTGTGTGTGGCTTGCTTTTTTTCATCCCAAAGTATGTCTTTGAACTTTATCAAGGTTAATCACATTGTTTAGTTCATTCGTTGTACCTTCTGTAAGGAATTCCACTATATAAACAAGAGTTTATTGACCCATTACTGTGGAGTATTTTCCTACTGCAGTATCATTACAGTGAATGTCCTTTGTATGTCTCTTTGAAGCTTGAGTAAGTGCTCTTGCAATAACACTTAGAATTAGATTTGTTGGAGAAAAAAGAAGGTGCATGTTCAACTTCATGAAAAAACCCCAAATTGCTCTTCAAGGTGGTGGTCCCAATATCCTCTCCCACACACTCTGTATGAGAGGTCTAGTTGCCCTACCTCTCACCAGCACTGTCTGTTGTTGCCAGATGTGAGAGCTTTCACTTATGATGACTGTAAAACTCTGTCCTTGTTCTTTAAAATAGGACTTTCTCTCCTTGCTAGTGAGATGGGGCAGTTTTTCATTTGTCTCTGAACCATTTGGATTTCTTCCTGTGTAAATACCCATTTATACAGTTTGCTGGGTTTTTGTTGTGCAGTTTTTTCTCATTGATTTGTCAGTGGTTTTATGTATTTTGGACACTAATCCTTTATTAATGATGTGGTTTGCAAATATCTTTTCCTGGTCTGTGACTTGCTTGTTGTTGTCTGTGGCAAGGTATATTGTCTAGAAATTTTTATTCTAATGTAGTCAAATTTAATATTTCCGTGAGCTATTGTCTTTGATATTTTTCTTTATCCCTTCTTTCAGCCATGATTTCTTAGAAGTGTCTTTTAAATTTCCAATCACGTGTGCAATTTTTATCTTTTTCTTATTGATGTATTCATTTATTGTACTTTATCATGGAAGAGAGTCTGTAGCGTACCCGTTCTTTGACATTTATTGATTCTATAACATTCGCTCTGTGTCCTTTTGTCAGGTTTTACAGATGTTGCATGTATTCTTTAGCAGAATGTTTGTTCTCTAATTATGGAGTTCAGAATTCTAAATATAAATATTCGGCGAATCAAGTTGTAAATTGTGTTCTTAGAATCTTCTTTACCTGCCTTAATTCTTTATCTTTCAATTACTAAGATAGTTGTTTAAAATCTTCCCCACCTTTGTCAAGTTGTTTGTAAACCTGTATTATAATATCCTGAGATTGTGTTATAAGGTACAAAAAAATTTACAACAATTATCTTTCTAGTGACTTGCTATGTCAACATTTCTCTTTTGGATTATTCTCCTGGTATATGTTGCTTCATCCTTTTAATTTCAAGCTTTCTATGTCTTTACATTTAAGATGCGTCCCTTTAAATAGCATATGCCAGGATTTTGTTTTTAATATGGTTTTACAACATTTTTAGAGTTTAGTCCATTCTATTGTTTGTAATAATTAACCTATTTAGGTTTATATTCCTATATCTGTCATCTCAATTTTTGCTTTCTAATTGTGTGCATATGTGTGTGTGTGTGTGTGTGTGTGTGTGTGTGTATAACTCTTACAAACAATATGTATATAACCCTTTTCAAACCTTTTGGTCATTTGTATAGTCTCTTCTATTTTTGTAACACTTCCAAAACAATTTTTTCTTTAAATATATTCAATATGGTTTACATTATTTATCTGATAATTTCAGTACCTGTAATGTATGTGGCTCTGGTGCTGCATTTGTTTTGTTGCTGATTTTACTTGTGCTATCTTGTTTCCACATGTACCTTGTGATTTTTTTTTTAGGGGGGGGGGCGTGTATTTGTGTTTGCATTACTCGAAATTTTATCTCTGGGAATCTTTTGAGCCCAAGATTGATCTGTATTTTTCAAAAGAATATATGTGTCTGCTTCTGGTGAGCTCCTAGGTGTACAACCAGCTGAAAACCACCTTAAAAGTTTGACTTTGGGGTTTTATTTGACTCTCAAAGGCAGTGTAAATTCTCTTATGTGTAAAAAAAATTTTTTGGTGTAATTTTTTTTTTTTTTTTTTTTTTTTTTTTTTTTTTTTGCGGTGCGCGGGCCTCTCACCGTTGTAGCCTCTCCCGTTGCGGAGCACAGGCTCCGGACGCGCAGGCTCAGCGGCCATGGCTCACGGGCCCAGCCGCTCCGCGGCATGCGGGATCTTCCCGGACCCGGGCACGAACCCGCGTCCCCTGCATCGGCAGTAGGACTCTCAACCACTGCGCCACCAGGGAAGCCCCTGGGTAATATTTCTTAGTGGAGACATTTACTACCCCTCCCGTAGCTAAAGTGGAAACAACATCTTGATCCTCCACCTGCTACTGAGACTTTTTGTTGTTGTTGTTCTAGCTCATTCAGAGGGCAGCCTTTCAGGTTCCTCGGCTTTAAAGGATGTTTCATGTTCTATGCTTCCTCCACTTCTCATAGGTCCCAGTTCACATTTCATTGCCTTGTGTGGGCTATAAAATACACATTTTCCAGCAGACCTCAAGCATCTTCCCCTTCCTCCCCCAAGGCAGCCTCAGTGTACGTGCCTGCTGCTCTGGTGTTTTGTTTCTTCTTCATTCCTGGTATTTAAGGTTTCAGTTCTTAATTAGAATAATGTTTATTTTATTTTAAGTAGCATTAATAAGCTTTTTTAGCTGGAGGGTTATCAAGTTTTTTCATCTGCAATGCTGCTGGAACAAGTAACAAAATATTTACATATGACCTAAGAGTCAAACTTCATAAGGAGAAAAAAAGCAGCAGAGAAGTGAAAGAGAAGGGTTGAGTTCTGACTTGGAGAGAAAGAGGTAAAATAGAAAAGCTACTGACATTTTCAAATATTTAAAGTATAATAAGCCATTGAAGAAATAGTATCCCAAACAATATGCAATAAACCCCGTCTGATGATTTAACATAGTCGTGATTATTTTCTCACTCAAGAATTTACACAGTGGTATTACGTGCCAATAAAACTCTAGAAAAGCCATAGGAAGTCATGCGTGAAAGAACCATATTTCTTTTGCCTAGACTAACCCTTTCTTATTAAAAGGATAGAAGTTTATATCCACAAACATTTGTTGAATTCTTGTCATCTACTCCATGATAAGGTTTAGGGGTAAGGTGGAAAATAAGTTAGAAGTATAAAAAGGTTCCTGGGGCTTCCCTGGTGGCGCAGTGCTTGGGAGTCCGCCTGCCGATGCGGGAGACGCGGGTTCGTGCCCCGTTTCGGGAGGATCCCACGTGCCGCGGAGCGGCTGGGCCCGTGAGCCGTGGCCGCTGAGCCTGCGCGTCCGGAGCCTGTGCTCCACAAATGGGAGAGGCCACAACAGTGAGAGGCCCGCATAACGCAAGAAAAAAAAAAAAAAAAAAAAAAAAAAAGGTTCCTGGATTTATAGACATGGTACATCGTGTATGGATATCTGTGAGCCAAATTGCCACATTTGGACAAAACCTTCAGTTAAAAACCAATCATTTGGGGCTTCCCTGGTGTCGCAGTGGTTGAGAGTCCGCCTGCCGATGCAGGGGACGCGGGTTCGTGCCCTGGTCCGAGAGGATCCCACATGCACGCGGAGCGGCTGGGCCCGTGAGACTTGGCTGCACAACAGGGAGAGGCCCGCATACCACAAGAAAAAAACAAAAAAACAATCATTTAAGATGAGCAAACAAAATTAAAGAGGTGTGCCCGAATGGGTATGTTAATTGGGATGCATTGGGCTTGTTGCAAGAAACAGAAAATTTGACTAACACAGTGGTGTAAATCATTGGGGCATTTGGACATTTATTGTTTGCTCAACAAAAGACCTAAAGGTAGATGATCCCAAGCAAATATGGCTGCTCAGCAACTTTATCAAGACCCAAGCTTGTTCCAGCTTCCAAATATGCTTTCCTTAGGCTTGTGGCTTCTTGATCAGATTAGCGCAAACCAGTTAACATGACCATTCCTGGTCTCAAAGGAGGCTGAGCAAGCAAATCTCTGTCTTTATAGCTGGAAAAATAAAATGGAGAAAGGAGTCAGAAAAGACTCTTTGATAGTCAACCAACAGTGTCTGCCACAGTTGGGAGAAACATTTGTATCATCTATAACAGTTAAAGATGTAGCATCCAAATATATGAAGAATTTCTGTACATTAAAGAGAAAAAGACTTGTAACCAAGTAGAAAACTGGGTGAAGTATATAAATTGTTAGTTGTATTGAAATAAAATGCAAGTGGACAAATGTTATGAAAAGATGCTCAATCACAGTAGTTTTAAGGGAAATAAAAATTAAAATAGGAGTAAAGTATTGTTTTTACCAGTCAGGTTCATAAAAATGCAAAGTTTAACAATATCAAGTACTAATAAGGTTTAGAGAAGCAGAGACCTTCAAACTCCTAGCAGATGAATAAATTGGCACAGTTTTTTTGGAGCACAATTTGGCAATATATCTGCCTATCCATTAAATTTCATTTAAAATTTTACTCGATGCTATGTTAAATATTAACATTTGTACTTAAATCTTAAAGTTTGTACTCAGGGCATGTATAAGGATGTTAATTGTAGTATCATTTAGACAGCAACAAATTGTGGGCAAAACTCCTCCATTTCCAATAACGAAAGAATGGTTAAACAAACTATCCATTGTACAGATAACTATGAAACTCATTTAGAATAAGTTAGTCATGTTATGGAAAAACATATTAAGTTAACTCAAAAATATATGTAAAGTGTTATATCACATATGCAATCTATATATATCAAAGAATACCACAAAACACTAATAATAGGTAATATTTTCTATAGATACACATACATAAAACACAATTTTTTAATTGTATTTTAAAAGTCTGGAAGGTAAGCAGCCAACTGATATTGATGGGGGCGGGGGAGTGAATTTAATTGCTAAACTGGAAGAAGCCTTAACTATCACCTGATCCAGTCTTTCCCAAGTGAGGCAAGTGTTTTGCTGATGGTACACAAAATGATTTTCAGTAGTCATGGACATAGCAGGAAATCAACTGGACTCACATAGTGAGAAAGCTATTCCATTTTCAATGATCTTTTCATCCTTCTACTCAAGTGAAAGCAATATTCTCAGACTGGTGCCCATATGACCCTTCTCATACTTATTCATGCCCCTTTTGAACAAAGAGCAAATCAATTGCTCACAGACTTCACTAGGAACAAAATCTAGCTAAATTTACTAACATTATTTATAGCATATTTTTAGGTTTATCTTATATTCTTAGTAAGTATATAAGAATACTTATATACTTAGTAAGTATTATATACTACTTGTATACTTAATTATATATATGTTTTTCCATCTACTATAGTACATAATATTTGCTTTCAAAATAGATTTAAGTGAAATATGAGTCAATTAAAAAATATTCAGAGTATATTTGCATATATGTATGCACGCATATGCAAAGAATGTTTACAAAGAATGCATATATACATATATATTTATTATGTATGTACATATGTATGTATGTATGTATATAAAGAAAATGCTATTAAATAGTAGTACAGGCAGTGCATTAATATGACAAAAATTTTGAGGGGAAAATGCAAATACCTGAAGTTTCAGAAACACTAATGTAATTAGCTTTTTATGGTGTAAATAAAGAAAATTAAATTGTCACTATTTTATATGCTTTTTACAATTTAATTAAATAATTTAATCTCAAAGTCTTGGTATAGGACATGCATAATTGTAGATTAACAGTATATTTTTATTATTTGCATCATTAATAGCTGTACTTTTGCACACTCAATTAAAAGATCCTGTAGCTTTTTTTTTTTTTTTTTAATTTAAAGGGATTTTGCATAGAAAGTTTGCTCAAATTGTGTAATCATCAGCA